CACTATTTGAGTGGACAGTCCACTTTTTTCACATTATGTTCACTATTTTTTTTTCACAAAATAGTGGACATTTTTTTTTATTCAAAAGCTTTATGATGAAATGGTACGTAATCTAAAGCTGTACAGTCTACTTTTTTTACTACTTAACCCCCCCCCCCCGCTTGTCCGCTATTTTTTGGAAGCAGACCTGGCAACCCTATTCCTGACAGCGGGCACGGGTGGATGGTGGCTGAGGACAGACGGGGGGAGGAAGACAAAGCGAGAGGCTGGGATTCCCCACCGGAGAAAGCTCGCCAGCGCCCTTACTCCCCACCCCCCGCGAGGAGGAGGGGGGTGTGTGGTGTTTTGGGCGGGAGGGCGAAGGCGTGCTCGGCTCGGCCTCCCCCGGCCTGATAAAAGGGCAGCCCGGCTCCCGAGGGCACGAACCTGCCAAGATGGTGCTCAGCGACGACGACAAGGCCAGAGTGCGGGCCGCCTGGGTCCCTGTGTGCAAGAATGCCGAAATGTATGGGAGTGAGACCCTTACCAGGTAATCTGCCCCCCTTTTCCACTTGCGGCTTGCGCGAAGATCGCCCCGGCGATGTCCCCCCCCCCCGGGCTTCCCTTCACTCTCCCTTTCCCCGCAGGATGTTCGCAGCGCACGCAACCACCAAGACCTACTTCCCCCACTTCGACCTGAGCCCGGGCTCCAGCGATCTCAAGGCTCACGGCAAGAAGGTGATCGACGCGCTCACCGAAGCTGTCAACAACCTGGACGACGTGCCGGGAGCCCTTTCCAAGCTCAGCGACTTGCACGCCCATAAACTTCGTGTGGATCCCGTCAACTTTAGGGTGAGTCGCCTTCTCCCGGCAGAATTGGGGTGAAGGAGGGCGCAGGCCTCCCTGCCGCCTGCTTCGCCTTTAGCCCTTGAGGTGGCCGGGGGGGAATCCCTGTAGCCGTCGATAGGGTTGCCAGGTCTGCTTCCAAAAACTAGCGGACAAGCGGGGGGGGTGGGGTGGGGTTAAGTAGTAAAAAAAGTAGACTGTACAGCTTTAGATTACGTACCATTTCATCATAAAGCTTTTGAATAAAAAAAATGTCCACTATTTTGTGGAAAAAAATTGTGAACATAATGTGAAAAGTGGACTGTCCACTCAAATAGTGGACACCTGGCAACCCTAGCCGTCGATGGCTTGGGGTGGCTCTGTCTCTCTTAACGGGCACCCCTCTCCTGTCTGCAGCTGCTGGGCCACTGCCTCGAGGTAACCATCGCGGCTCACAACGGAGGGCCCCTCAAACCCGAAGTGATGTTGGCCCTTGACAAGTTGATGAGCCAAGTCTCCAAGGTGCTGGTTTCCAGGTACCGCTANGAAGCCTGAATTGCTAGTTGCCCTGTAGCTGAATTGACCAAGCCAAGGTCCCAGCTCTCTGCAGTGGGACTGAGCAACTGAAGATTCTTTGGTGGGGGCTCCTAAATGTGTGGATAATTTTCAACCACCCTAATGTCATCCACCGCCATTAATTTCTGAGCTGGTTCTACTTCCACTGTTGTGCCAATTATCGATTCCATTGCTTTCTCTCCCTTGTTGAATTTTCATTATTACAACAAATAATAAAAGCACAGGAAAAGAGGTGCAATAGCGTTTTTTCAGTGTCTGTCTAATGTTCCAAGTCATTCTCCTGTGCTGTTAGTACTGCATGCGCTTCTGAATCGGGCAGAAAACATTTGTCTTCTTGAAATGGGTGGGCAGGTTGTAGGAGAGGGGTCATTGCTGTTTTTGGGGCGGCAATTGCAGGAAAAATGTGTCAAGTATGAATGGAATGACTCAAATGTATGGCCTTTGTTTGGAAATGTGCATGGCAACTTCTTAGAGAATTTCGGGGAACGCTTAAGCAAATCAAGCCAAAAGCAATACTTGGATTTGCATAACATTGTAAAACTTACACTCAGGTTAATCGAAGTAAATAGTTGGGGTCAAATAAGAGCAATTCTCAGATAACGGTCTGGTTCACACAACATGGTAAGATGATGACTGAGTTCCTATAATTTCCCATCAACTTATTGTTGATAATAACAAATTATCAAAATGTACTTTTTTGATCAGCCTAGCATGTTACACTAGCCCAACACACCAGTCTCATTACTTATAACAGCATTTTCTGGGGTATCCAGGCAAACATATTTAAGCAAAGGACTATAGGAACTTTTAACTGTCACTTTTTGCAGTTGGACTTTAAATAACAGGTATCCATGTAAGCAGGGCTTATTCTAGAAGAGCTTCTCCCAGGAGGGAGAATGTTCCTACATTGGTGAATGCTAATTATTTGGAACATGAAGCTCGTGAAATTTTGAATAAGAAAAGATGTGGCAGTTAGAAGTGTTTATGTCCATTTTATAACAGCCCACCTAGAATGAAGATGTTGTAGTATAAAGACTTTTGTGGATCAGCTGGGAGAGCCTAATATGAGTCTTGGTGCACTCTAGAATGGGATAGATTACAAGGTGGGAAAAAAACCTGGAGTGCTTGCAATATCTAGACATTCCTGAAGGTAATTCTTTAAAAATCTGTAAGAATTATATCTCACCTTCCCACCAGGAGCTGTTTACACAGGGATTCCCCCTTCATTTTATCCCACCATAGTGATGCTGTGTAATAACCTGGGCTAAAAGAGAGTGACTGGGCTAAAGTCACACAGAGTTTCTGTGACTATGTAGAGACTTGAACCTGGATCTCGTTGGTCTCCCTCCAGCAATTTAACCACTGCGCCATTTTTAGGAGTTGATGAGGTGCAATGATTAGAATACAAGTATTGCAGAGTAACGCTGCCCTCTCCAAGGAGTTCGATCTTGACTGGCTGAAGGTTGACTCAGCCTTCCATCATTTCTGAGGTTGGTAAAATGATGACCCAGGTAGTTGGAGGCAATATGCTGACTAAACTGCTTAGAAAGCACTGTAAAGCACTATGAAGCGGTATATGAGTCTAAGTGCTAAGTGCACAAGAGAAATTGGAGGAGGGGAAAGGGGGAAGTGTTGGGGCTAGTTCAAACAGAGAAGCAGAATACAGTGGAGGTGAAAAACCTACAGGCTTCTGTATTTTCAGCTAGCCAGTAGGAGAGGTAGTTCGAAGACTTCATTATCTGTAACACCAATCAGTTTGGTGCTAATGATAATTGTTTGTCAGAAATAAATTTTATAGAGATGAGGGGGAAGCATAGGAGAGTATCAGGAGGAAATGGCAGAAATCTCTTTTGAAGGGGAAATCTTGTCTGACCTTCTTCTAGAAATGGGTTGCAGGTGAATTGGCTACAGTACGTCAACTACACTATATAAAAAAGCTTTAGGGGGAGCAAGAAAATACCTGTATTCCCAACAAACCAGGTTCTGTGATCCTATATCCCACAGATTATTCTCAAAATCTTTCCATCAAACCTTATAATTAGGTTAATAATAATTAAGATAATGATACACATAGATTTGGTTGCAATACGCCCAGAAAAAGGGAGTCAGTTTTCAATTAATGTTTTTTTAGATAGAAAGGGAATTTTTACATTCTAAATAAGTGAAAGGCAGTTTATTGACATGTGAGCCAATTAAAGAATTAAACAATTTCTAGAATTTGTTTACTGAAACAATTAGACAGCCTATTGATATAGGAACCTTTAACACCGAACTAATATTTTTGACATTCATTCATTCGTTCGTTCGATAAAGCTAATTGCAATCGACACTTTTCACAACTTAGAGCTTCAGCAAGCCAACCAAGAAAAAGGAGCTGCCATTACTGTACCACCCTCTGCACAGTCAATTTAGCTATACTGTACAATGTAGGCTACAGAAAAGATGCAAAATAGGATTTCGGGGGTCCGCCAGCCCACAGGATAAATGGATCGGAGGCCAGTGTCTCCTTATGCTGGGATGCTGGATTTGCGGGACATTTCTCCTGCGTGGTCTTTTGCCACTTAGCCTTAGACTTGCAGGGGTAGGCAACCTTGGCTCTTTTTTATGACTCGTGGACTTCAACTCCCAGAATTCCTGAGCCAGCCATGCTGAGGGGAAAGGGAGAGGTTTCCATGCTGAGCCATGCTGGCTCAGGAATTCTGGAAATTGAAGTCCACGAGTCATAAAAGAGCCAAGGTTGCTTAACCCTGCCTTAGAGATACACCTCGTTCCTCACTTTAGCAACGAAGCTGATGAAGTTACCCAAAAGAGAAAGCGAAGTTACCCAAGGAGAAGTAACTTGTGGCGGTTGGGCTCATTGTTGTTCGTGGACACGATTACTCAAATGCCCGGGCCAAACTCCTGCGAAGAGGAAAGCGGTAGAGAACGAATCAGAAGATTGGCATCTAGTGTAGAGCCAAGCGAGAGAAGTTAGGTCAGGGGTCCTCAACCTTGGCAACTTTAAGACTTGTGGACTTCAACTCCCAGAATTCCTCAGCCAGCAAAGCTGGCTGAGGAATTCTGGGAGTTGAAGTCCACAAGTCTTAAAGTTGCCAAGGTTGAGGACCCCTGAGTTAGGTCTTCTTGGCGGACGGGTGGGCTGCGGAGCGCCCGAGAAGAAAGAAGCGGGCGGGGAGGAAAACCAGAGAGCACCGCAGCGGTAGGGAAGCGGGTCTCGCGCGGGTTTGCCGAGGCGCTCTCACGTCCCGGGAAAGCTCTCGTGTTAAGAAGTTGCGGCCTCTTTCTGAGCGGCTCCAAGCGGACGGCTGCTGTTCTTAACTTCCCCGGGGGCATCTTTGGAGCCGAGGACGAGTTGAGAGCGCCGCCCTCTCTCTCTGTCGCCCGAAGCCATGCCGCTCTATCTCGCTGAGCCTGGAAAGGAAAGAAGATGGCCGGCCAGGGACCTCTGGCTATTAGATTAAAAAAAAATATGGGCAAGCCCTGCACAGCAGCCCCTCAGATCTTTGCGTTTTGCTCCTTCCTCCAATTCCACCCTTAGCCTCCGTCAGGAAGTCTCTGGAAGTGAATCCCTGTGTTTTGTGGCATTGTGGTGTGCTGTGCTGTGCT